TGGAGCATGTCCAGAGATGACCAAAATGGTGAAGGGTCTGGAAACCATGCCCTGAGAGGAGAAACTTAGGTAACTGGGTATGTTTAGCCTGGAGAAGAGGTGATATGATAGCCTTGTTTAAATATTTGAAGGGATATCTCCCTCAGAGTGTGGTGGAGTCTCAGTCTTTGGAGGTCTTTAAGTAGAGAATGGATGGCCATCTGCTAGGGGTGTTTTGATTGTGAGTTCCTGCAAGGCATGGGTTGGATTGGATGGTCCTTGTGGTCTATTCCAAGTCTGTGATTCTATGCTTCTGTGCATGGCTGAAGATTATCACACGATGTTGAGATTACCCCATGGGCAATGTGTGTGCAAACTGTTACTATTATACAACTTTGCATTAATGGAGAGCTTCCGTTAATAAGCTGCCGAAAGTGCTGCAATTCTGGGAATGAATAAATGTGGACACACAATGCGCCGTGTTCTCACAATTGTGGAAGCTTGCGAGAATACAAATTGCTTTTTCTGTATCAAAAGTGCATGTGTGTGACTGTATAATAATATTTTACAGAACACAAAAAACAAGCTTCATGGAAAAGCAAATCTCTTTCCTTTCCATTTGCAAATAATTCTTCGTGTGATTGTGTGAATGCGCAGAATGAAATCATTCAATCGTGGTATGTTCCTACCATTCCACAAATGCTATAGTAATGAAAATGACCCCAGTGTGACAATCTCCTATCATTCCACTTTAACTGCTGTGATTCCATCCTGTGGAGTCTTGGGGCTTATGATTTAGGGAACGGTACTTCTCAAACTAAGACTGTCATACTTTGGCCACATTATGAGAAGGCAAGCCTCATTAGAGAAGACAGTAATGTTAGGAAAGATGGAGGGAAGCAGAAAAAGAGGAAGACCGCATGCCAGATGGATAGACTCAGGGGGGGAGCAGACGGGTGGCCATGGGCCGCCCTGGGAAGCTGCGGATCAGGGCCGAGGTATCCCCACACTTCGGCCCCACGGCACAGCTTTGCCGCCCCAGGAAGGAGAGCTAAAATAGTGCTCCTTCCACAAGTCACAGTGCTCCTTCCACAAGTCAAAAGATTCCGCAAAAGGCTGGCAGCGCACCTTCGGTGACTCTTCCGCTGCAGCGTGTGCAGACGCTGTGGCGGAAAGGCATCCTTGGAGCCCCGGCCATGCGGAGGGGCTGGCACTCCAACGATGCCTTTGGGAAGGGGTTGGAGTGCCCACCGTGCGGCTGCCCCTTCCCTTCCTTGCCCCGAAAACGGCGCTTTGCGCCATCTTCTTCCCCCCTCAGTCAGAGAGGTCCACGGGTCTTCATTTGCAGGACCTAAGCAGAGCAGACAGGGGGGCTTGGAGGTGTCTCATTCACAGGGGGGCCATGAGTCATGATCAACTTCTGATTCTCACCCAGAGAGCTCTAGTGCCTCACCAAACTAAAGCTCTCTGGCTGAGAATACAGAGAGCCATTGTGGTGTAGTTGTTTGAGTGTTGGACAATGACTTTGGAAACCAGGGTTTGATTCCCAAGCTTGGCCATGAAACCCACCAGATGACCTTGGGCAAGTCATATGCTCCTAACCTTAGGAGAAGGCAATGGCAAACCTCTTGTGAACAAATCTAGCCAAGAAAACCCCATGATAGGTTTGTCTTGGGGTCATCATAAGTCAGACACAAGCTGAAGGCACATAACAACAACAAACTTATAATTCTCAGCCAGAGAGCTCTAGTGCCTCACCAACTATAAATCCCAGGATTCCACAGGATGCAGCCATGGCAGTTAAAGTGGAATCAGAGTAGTATGTCATGTGAAAGGTCCTCTGGTTACAAAGGGTTGTAACACCCAGAGACCTCTGCATGTAGGTGTGTCGTTCTCAAATGTCGATGTACAACACAGAGCACTACTGCCCTTTTAATTTTTTGTCCCCATGATGTGACTAATGGGTGAAGAGCCCTTAAGGTTTGATACAAACTAATTGTCAAAGCATCTGATCACCTTTGCACATCTGTGGTGGGAAAGAGGGAGCATGCAAGCCAGCTGTCTGGTTCGTGTCTGAACAGAGCCTTAGCCTTATGTACAAATATGTACATTCTGTACATTGAAGCCAGATGAAACAAGCAGAGATGCCTGTCTCATCTTAGTGAAAAGTCATTTTGATAGAGGTACTGAGTCAGTTCATTGGTCTGACTAGTCCAGGCTATCTCAAGGATCTGGCATGATTCTTTCTTAGCCCTTCCTACAGCACATCCACACTTCAGAAATAATCCGGTATGAGACCATTTTAACTGCCATGGCTCAAGGCTATGGGATTCTGGGAACTGCAGTTTGTTGTGGCACCAGAGCAGAGTTTGTGGTTTAAGTGGAGCTCTGGTGCCACAACAAACTACAGTTCCCAGAATCCCATAGCCTTGAGCCATGGCAGTTAAAGTGGTCTCAAACTGGATTATTCTAGCAGTGTGGATGCATCCGTAGAGATCCCTAGATAGTGTTTTCTGCATCTAAATGTGAGGGCCACAGATAGCCATTTGATCATCTCTGCATGTAATGAAGAAAAAGTGTGTGTCTTGTGTGAGCTTATCATGCCTTTTGGCAGGGGGGAAGATTTTTTTTTTCAGAGGGGATTTTCCATTGCCTTTCTTGGAGGCTGAGAGAGTGTGATGTGCCCAGTGTCAGCCAGTGAGTTTCCTTGGCCAATCCGGCATTTGAACCTGAGCCAGTGTGGCACAGTGGTTTCAGCATCAGCCTGTGACTCTGGAGAGCAGGGTTTGAATCCCAGCTTAGACATGAAAAACCACTGGGTGACCTTGGGCAAGTCACAGTCGCTCAGCCTCAGAGAATGACAATGGCAAACCCCCTCTGAAGAAACTTGCCAAGAACACCCTGTGATAGGCTGGCTTTAGGGTTGACATAAGTTGAAAACAACTTGAAGGCAAACAGCACACATAAACACATCCCAGAGTCCTAGTCCAATATTCAAACCACTCACTACGTTCTCTCTCTCTCTCTCTCTCTGGAAAGTAGGAGTTGAAAAAGCATTTCTTTGACAGAAGCAATTTCACATGTTTGGGATGCTTATCAGCAAAAGTGTGAGTGCTGTTTTTGCTGGCAATATGGGCTGAAATGGAACACATTTATTATATACATTCACTTGGATTTTAGAACTTTTGTACATGGAAATCACCAGAGAATTCTTTTAAGGATCCTTTTTTTGTTTGTTTTGAATGTTTGGGATACATTCTTCCTCTTCTTTGGTTAATTTTTAATTGTCTGGTTCACGAGTGAGCTGGAAGGAAGCTCATTTCTTGCTCCCTGTTGTTCTGTATTGCTTGTCTTCACTCATTGTTGCTTTTGTACATTATACCAGGCTGTTGCTCGTTGTTGTTCCGTACTGTGCAGTGTCTTGCTTGACAGACCAGCTATCAAGCTGTTGCTTCAATAGAGCAAGTTATTATACCACCTTCCCTGTTCTGTGAAATAGGCATAGTAGGAATACACAGTGCTGCTATTATTATGTATTTTAAACCTTTCTATCAAATAAGCTTAATGGTTAAATATCTTAATCAACTAATCATACCCCCCACCTATTTCTATGTATATGTGTGTATCTGCAAGGCCTGTTTGGAAAGCTGTTAAAGACTTGACAGCTATTATGGATATGTGATTTTTCAACATGCATTTATTGTACCCTGCCTGAGAATAGGACTTAAGTCCAGTACAGTTCAACTGGACTACACAACTGTGGAACATGCCTTGTTTGAAACAGGCTAGTATTTATTTCAGAGAGCCAGAGTGGCATAGTGGTTTGAGTGCTGGAGAGTAGGGTTTGATTCCTATCTTGGCCATGAATCCCACTGGATGATCTTGGGCAAGTCACATGCTCTCAGCCTCAGGGGAAGGCAATGGCCAACCTCCTCTGAACAAATCTTGCCATAATAGGGTCACCTTAGGGTTTGCCATAAGTCTGAAACGACTCAAAGGCACACAAACAACAACAGAGTATTTATGTCATGGGCAAGAATTGTGCAGCTCTCCAGATGTTGCTGGAGTGTAACTCCCCTTATTCCTCACCATTGGTTGTACTAGCCAGGAGTGCTTGAATTTGTAGTCTGGCCACATCATCAGGACCTTAGGATTCTTACTTCGGCTTTACATGAATTATTTAGCCCAGAGTTGTTTTCTTCACATTTTCCCAGCCCCTCGGGTAATCTCAGCTGGAGAAATCTTCAGCCACTCTCTCCAGCAGCACAGTTGCATTTTGAGGTGTGATTTCTCAGTTTGTAGTCACTGCTTGGCTTCAAAATTATACCAAAGCCTACACAGTGCAGTGAGAGTTACCTTGTTTTTACTTCTAGAAATTCCAGTTAATATTGAGCTAGATGTACATTCTGACATATTAACCTAGTACAAATGCGATTCCAGATTTAAGATGGGTTTCAGCTTTGTTTTTAAAGTGAACCCATAGCCCGTCCCTGGCTGCTGGGATAAAACTTCATCTGTTCAGAAAAATCGCTCCTTGCGGGAGAAGGCACCTTTCCCACTCACAGCCTGAAAAGGAAAGGGCTCCAGCCCAGTGGACGGCTTTCCCACTTGATTCAGCTCTTTGTATCAACTGACCCTTAAGACAGCTGGGCTCCTCTCTTCCATTGATCTGTGAATGCAGCCTTGCTAATTGACAAGGTGTAAATGGTTTTGTTGGAGGGCTGCTTGCAATTCTAAAGGGACACCTGCTTACCCGCTTACACATGTTAGTGCAGAGGTTTGTTCCCTCTCCTGGGCACAAAGCACTGCTATGCACTGTCCCTTTTCCATCCAGACATCTTTGTCTGAGGAACTCAGCTGCCTGTAGCTTGTTAACCACCTATGGCTTTTCACATCCTCTCCCTTCCCCTCTCCTCCTCCGTGTGCTCCCCATCTGGGAAGGTCACACAGAATTGGTTTGGGGCGACACGTTCTTTATGCAACACCTGCTCATTACACCTTCTCCACTATCCTCCTCCCCTTCTCTTGTTCCTCCCGAATGACAGTCCCTTCTGAGCATGCCAAACTCTTGATAGAATACCCCCCTCGCCTCTTCCCCCACTGTTTTCAGCGCAGAAATCCATTCAGTGGCAATTATCAAAGCATGGCAAAGGCTCTCTGGCGCATGTCTCATCTTGGAGACTTATTGCTCCCTGATTAAGTGGAACAATTTTGTATATTCTTAAGGCTGCAAGCTTTCGTCAGTAACACAGTTACTAACAGCTTTGGCTGGTTAAGTAGTGGAGGCATATTTTAATCAATGGGCTACAAATGAAGGTCACTTGCACCTATCCCATGAGGACATTTTTTGGTTATGATGTGCTGATGAGTGAGCAAGGAAGAGAAGTGATCACTTAAATTATCTTGCATTTGCTTTCATTTTCTTTCCTCCTCTCTCCACCCCCCCATCCCCCCCCCCATCTCTACTAGGGGCTTATAAAGAGTTCTAAATGCGTTCCTCTTCAGGCACTTATGCTCTCACCTATTTGGTCTTAACAGTTTCATAGGGCATAAGTTCCTGCATTGCAGGGGATTGGACTGGATGGCCCTTGTGGTCTCTTCCAACTCTATGATTCTATGATTCTAAGTCACCCACTCAAAAATATCCTCATATGGAATCTCTGGTACTATTCAAATGAATTTGTAATTTGGCAGGGATTAATCAAACTCCAAATTTTGAGCAATGAGATGTCAAAGCCTTTGATATATCCAAAGCCCTGCAGGGCAGGGTGGAAGAAAGGAAGGAGGGTTTTTCCTCCTACTTCTGTACTTTGTGTTACTGTTTGTGTTGAATTTTATTTTCCTTTCATTGCAAACAATGAGAGGGAAATGTTTTACACCCAGGTTGGTGGCCCTTTTTACAGGTGCTGGAGCTGTTTCAGAGGACTGGAAGCAAAATGTCCACTGATCCATCAAGTTTTCCTTCTCTGGTGTCAGCAAAGTAAAAGTTGTGGATGTTTTCACAGGGGCTGAGAGGTTGGCTCGGGGGTCAGATCTCTCTGTCATGGAGATCTGGGGGAGATCTGATGTGTCCTGTGGACTCTGAGACACCATTCTTGATTAATATTGGGTGAAGAAGATGAACAGAAATGGTTTGTTAAGAATGCCCCATGATTCAGTGATTCACAAACTTTAGTCCTCCAAGTGTTTTGGACTTGAATACCCAAGAGTCCCAGCCAGCTTGGTCAGCAGTCAGGAATCCTGGGAGCTGAAGTGCAAAACATCTGGAGGACCAAAGTTTGGGAACCACTGGTCCAAGTCATCAAGCAGTTAGAAGTCTAGAGGCAGTATTGCAGAACTGGTTTGTAGGATTTCAGACACATCCTTGAACAAATCAAGCCAGAACTTTCCCTAGAAGCCAGAATCATCAAAATGGGGCTATCGTACTTTAACCATGTCGTGAGACAACATGACTCCTTTAAAACAATTATAATACTTGGTAAAGTGGGAAGCAGTAGGAGAGAGGATGACCACATTAAAGGTGCATAGACTCCATTAAGAAAGCCACAGCTCTCTTTCTCCCCATCATATATTGTGGCATAGTTTGAGTGTTGGACTACAACTCTGGAGACTAGGGTTTGATTCCCCACTCTACCATAAAACTCAGGAACTTATCACACACCTGAAAGAGGTATCTTACCTCTTCTGTGTTCAATCCTTGATCCGGGATACACCTGAATATTATCACACATAATTCACTGGAGATTCTGCCTCGATGCCACCACCCGCATCCAGCCCTGATCCAAGGAGTGCTCAGCTGGCACTTTTTTGAAAATGGAAGTTTTCTGACTTTAAAAATTGGCTGGCTGAGCGCTCCTTGGATCCGAGTTGGATGCAGCTGGCAGCATCACAGCAGAATCAGCAGTGAATTATGGTGTGATAACATTCAGATCTATCCCAGATTGAGGATTGAACCCGGAAGAGGTAAGACTGCTCTTTCGGGTGTGCGATAAGCTCTTCAGTGGGTGACCTTGGACAAGTCACATGCTCTCAGCCTCAGGGGAAGGCAATGGCAAATCTCCTTTGAACAAATCTTACCAAGAAAACCCCCATGATATATTCGCCTTAGGGTCACTATAAGTTGGAAATGACTTGAAGGCACACAACAACAAATAATAATAATGAATGAGGTGTTCAGACCCTTCAGGTAATTAAACAAAAGGAACTAATGAAAGTTAACCTGGATAATTTGTTCAATTTTCAAATCATACAAGGCCTGTCTGCAATCTGGCTTAGGATGGTCAATCAGAATTTTGAAAATGAAAGCCTTTTGCCAATGGAAAGTGTGAAGAGGACCTTGGTTAACTCCAGTGGGTGTGCCCACTCATTGATTCCTGCTTATGCTGCTGATCAGTACTTGAAAGCAACCCTCATACTGCTTTCATGGGCAGAAGTTTGGGTTTTCTTTGTGTTTCCAGAATCTACCTCTTAAGTGCATAAAATTAGCACAGTCAAGTGAGGTTGCTTGAGGGGACGCATCTCCCTGCTTCTTTGTGACTTTGGCTGCATCTGTGCCTTGTGTGTTTTACTCTGAACTGTGCTGACAGGAAAGCTATATTGTGTAAAAAGATTTTGCAAGGAGACAAAACAAAAGGACACTGTAAACTGGAATAACTCTTTTCAGAGAGAACAAGAGGGGAACAAAATTGCACATGCTCTCTGCTACTTTTTCTTTCCTTTTAGTTCTTTATCTGCTTAACTCTTCCATCCTTGTACACCTGGTTGTGGCCTCTCTTTAAACATTTCTGGGCTGTACTTCACCCATT